GGCATAAGAGTGTGTGCATCATAGACTAGAATTATTGGTTCCCACCAGCCTTGCCGCGATTTTCGAATATATATAGTTCAAAGTGGTCAACTTTGATATATTTGTGCGCATGACCAAATCAACAACTCGCATACCTGAATTGTCTGTCAGACGCTTTCGTATGAATATAATTGAAAGAGTTACAGCAATCAGGAATAAAATAATACAAATCAGCGCTATGACCCAAGAGTTAACACCTGAATCTGGAAAAAAAACACATCCAGATAAACACATAATGGCACAAACAGTTATATGCGTTCGCCCAGGAACTACCAGCAAACAATTAGTATTCAAATTATAGTATAGTTCCAACAAAGTATACTTTAGATATTTAGAAGCGCCTAACAAGTAATAAGAACAATCTTGTCATATTAAAATTGCAAAAATGTTGTAATTCATTGACAAGTACAATGTCACAATATTTTTTATGAAAGTGGCAATATTCTGGATCACGTCATAGGAAGACTGTGTTCAAAATGTGAAATATAGCACACATGTCCAGTATGTTAATACGGCGTAATTATATCGAAGTGTCAGTTCGCACCATTTATCTATTTCCGCAAAAATGGATAATTGTAAACACGAGTGAGAGTTTATGAAATTATTCATCATCCATAATAAAGAAATTTTGGCAATTCTGACTGTTATGCAAATAACTTTCATATACATTATAATTGCTCAAGTAATTTCCATGATTTATTCGTTTTCCAACAAACCACTGGATACAAATATTATTTGCGTGATTCCACAATGGCAGCCAACGACAACAGTTTGGGAGACCTTTTTTTCTGGCTTAAACTCTCAGCAATGAAGTTTTTACACTTGGGGTATATGTCCTATATAGCCAGACGGACACTGATGGGTCATTAATATTTTACATTTGTGTATTCTAAATGTGTAAACAGTCATCGATTCAAACATTTTCATTTCATTATATATCAATTATCATATAATAATATTATATTTTTATTTCTTAACTTTTAGCATGTAAAGCTAAATACTGGCATAACTGCCTGGTAATGATCAGCTTCTTTACAACACATAATCGACATGCTACATATACATTATTAAATACACATTATCGTATGAATGTGTCATTTTTTCTAAGATTTAGAACAGAAACAGCAGTTAATACAACATCCGTTTTCCTAAACTATCGCCATTTTCAAAAAAGGATACTCACCTGATGAAGGACTTAATACTTTTAATCTGATTACGTGACTCATTTCTTCAAATTCACTAAGTGCAACGCATTGGTATTGTCCGCTATCGTTCTCTGTTACTGCGTTCATAGTTAAAGTCGTATTTACCACATTACCATCTGGCGACGTAATGGCGACGTTTTTTGTGATTATATCACCATTATTTTTTTGCCAAATAATATTTGCCGCTGTTATGTACGGATTGGAATCTATCGTGCAGACCAGTCTTGCATTTCCACCTTCTTGTACCTCATATTCCGTCAATCCGGTGATGAATGGTCTGTCTAGAAATTTAGGATTGTGTTTTTCAACGTGCACCCGAGCAAATATTGATATTGTATACATATATCGAGTTTGAATTGTATTTTACTACACGGTAATACTACACTTTCACCGAGTCATTGGATGATTCCCTTAATTGTTGGCATGTAAAACAAGGATTACTTACAATGTACGTGTACGTTAGTTATACTACTTCCAATACCAAGGGTACTATCATAATAAATGTTTGACGCCTGTACAAATATAGACTCCGGCGTCATCTCTATGAATGCTGCTGAATGGTATACAATCCGTTACTCTCTACTGTTACACCATTTATTGACCATTGAAT